GGCAGCCTGTAGAATTATGCATCTATTTCTGCTTGGAAAAGCCACCAGTGGAGTCTGCGTTCTGTCATTACTTCAGGGCCAGCGCTTGACAAGGCAGAGAGCTGCAGGCTGCTGTTTATCTCCCAGTCTGCCCGCGTCCCTCTCGAGTGCACACGCCCTGCTATAGGGCCTCCCAGACACGCAGAGCGGCTCGGAGACGGGGGACGCCTGAGGGCCACCGTGTGGCGCAGCTAAGGGGATACGGCGGCGTCCTGTCACCGTGTCACCAGGCTCTCCTCAACAACAGCTAATGTTTGATAAAACAGTGGGGTGCCTAAGAGGGGGCTCAATTCATCCTGAGGGGCCAACCTTATCATTAGGCAATGATACGTTTTGAATCAGCGAGTGACAGGGGGAGGCCACTCTGGGGGCCAATCAGCTGTCAGCTGGGGTCAGTGCCCCTTTGGCCCCGCCCTTGTACATGGCCTTGTGAAAAGGTGATTGGTCTTGCTGTCGATACTACTGGTGAAAAAAAAAAAATCATATTTGATGATTTAAACAAATAACACCAATAAGATATTACATTTTTTTAGTCGAGACTTGATCAGGGGCAGCCTGCTCAAGCCCGGGGGGCGGGTGCTGTCGACCTTGTGGTTTGATTGAGTCAATCACTGGCAAGTAACAACACTGAAAATTTAATTAAATCAGGTTAGTTGAAGCCCCTTATTAGGGCCCCCTGGGCGTCAGCTTGGGTAGACCCGTGCATAAAAGCGCGTCTGGACATGATGCAAAATTAAAGATATTCCTGACTTTTCAATAGATAAGATCGTCTGAGACATGGAGAGGTGTGCTTTTGTCAGCAGTGATGTCTCGCCATTGGCCAAAACGATCAGAGGATTGCCCCCGGCTCTCACCCGGCTTTGATCAACAGAGGGCAGTATGAATGCCGTCCCAACTCCATGAAGCCCCTTCACTGGGGCTGTTAAGGTCAATGACTCAAAGTGCCTCTTTAAGAGGTACATAAACCAAGGTAGATATTCCATCCATGGCTTTGGATGCGTGAGTGAGCAGAACTCTGCTGCACTGCTTATTTCACTGGCAAGTTTGGATTAAATCATCTGGATGAGGCTATATTTAAAGCTCGTCACCTACTAGGCTTTCCACTAGTTCTGAATATAGGCAGGTTTGGATCTGATTTCACTAATAGATCCCGAACTAAGATGAAGGATAAGGAGCAGTACACAGTTTTAACAAAGGCAGGACAACAAACATATATCCTGTCGCAAACGATAGCACAGTAGCACATGCACACACATACAGGCACAAATGTACATGCGCACACACACACACACACGTACATTCTCGCACACACACACATGCACACACACACACACACACACACAGGCACAAACATTAATGTGTTTGCAGTCCATTTCAGTTACAGCCACGAGTTACCTTAAAAACTCAAACAACACCAAAACCAACACCTCACCCTGCCCCCCAAAACACACCAGCCCCCTCTTCCCTGACAAATAAAGCCTGAACAGACACCCAATACAGGTCCAGGATCTTCCTGCCCCCCAAAGCTCCCCCCAGCTGATATGGACTGGCATACCTTTAATTTCTTTGTTTTATAAAATTATTATAAACTATGAACTGTTATCTTCAATGCTAACTAAAATTACCTCGGTATGTCTAATTACTTCTAATTAATATAATGCAACAAAAGAAAAAAATTATGTCAAAAAATATTCATGTTTTATTTTGTAAGTTTTAATGTGATGTGATGCATATTAACACAAAAAACATTATATAATAATAAAAAAGTTTAATAAAACTGAGGTATATAACTTGCGCTTGAGGCAGTCAGTCTGCAGATGGATTGTGACAGTTTAGATAAATCAGAGTGGCATGACTGTCTCTCTCTCTCTCTCTCTCTCTCTTTCTCCCTCTCTTTCTGGTTTTTGGGCAGGGGTTCACCTCTAGCCCCTAGAGCAGTGAATAGCAGAATCCCCTGGGCTCTGGACAAAGCCGGTGTTGACATTCCAGGGGACCAAACCTTGTGCAAACAAATCAATGGTGGCAGATGGTGGGGGTGGTAGGGGGAACGCAAAGGGAGAGGGGGATATGGTGAGGGGGCAGGGGGGCGCTCAGTTATACGTATGGTAGTAAAAAAGGTTCTCTTAAAGACTGGGCTAGCCTTACTCCACAGGGATTATAATCAATTACACTAAATCTTCAAGTGTGCGGGGGTGGTAAATTAACTGAGCAAATGAGATAGTTAAGGTCACGGGGGTAACTGTACAGTAGGATCACTCACCTGGGGAACGGATGGCAGGAATTAGCAGTGATACGTCACAAATGCAGTTGTCCAGGAAACTCGGCCAAGATGTGGGGAGTGACACTAATTAATCGATCAATCAACAATGACAGCTGACAGAGGTGAGGCCGATTTCAGTTAAGTACTGTCAGCAGGATCAGCAACGAAGTTACTTTTACTTCTAGAATATGCGTGCGTATATTTCAAGTCTCTGAAGTCGTTCGTCTGTTGTAATCTGACACAGATCTCCGTGACCTACACACGATCGAGAGCGTTGGAGCATGGGCGCCTGATAGCTGACGATACACGTGCAGACGCCCGTGAAAGAGTGTGTGTGTGAGACAAGCATTAACGATGACCGGGGGGGGGGGCACCAACCTGTCGCTATCAGAGCGCAAATCTCCAGAGGCTTGGGGGCCGAATCTGAGCTCTGATCTTAACCGAGGGGAACAGGGAAGAACGTCCTAAACATGGCGGAACAGAGCATGTTTTCCACCTTGCTGCCAGGAACCAGTAGCCCTGTCTGGATGTCCAAACCTATCCCTCTTTCTTTGGTCCAAAAGCAAAGTGTGAAACTACAGTAAGTGTACAGTACTCTGGTTGCCCTATTGGAGTACAATGTGATGGAGATTCCTACTGTTTACCAGAGACTCTTTTTCTTATTTTTCTCATCCAAATCATTCTGGGGGCCTAGCCATGAAATAACACGTCGCCATGGTGTCGACTCGGAAACACTCGCTTGTACTTCATCTGATCCCACGTTCCGACACGCCAGCCGGTGCTCAGATTCGTACCTCTCAGGTAACAGCGGATTGGATGGGGAATCATAGCAGCTACGCCATCTAGGGTCCGTGACTCTTATTTTCCTGAAAATCATCTGCCCATGGAAGTGCAAAAAAGCATGACTGGCATCATGGCAATGGCGCGGTAAACGCCAGGGTCGACAATACATCTTAATTTACCAGTGGGGGATGGTTAAGTTTCATGGCAACAGAGTCTACGCCCATATGAAGACACTGACCTTCCCCGCATGCATCTTTAATAACCGCAGACCCAGTGCGGAGTTACAGTGAACCTGGATCCCATCCCAGGAAAAACAGGGCATGCGGCAGGAAACACCCTGAACTGGATGCTGTTTAGACCAGTTAAAACTAATGAAATTATTGTGGAGGCAGGCATTGTTTTGCTTTTTCTCCAAAGTCGGGATCCAAAACAAGGCTCTGACAAATCACAGCACATCTTTCATGTCACACGCCCTGAAGGAGATGCACAAGGAATTAGGCATGAAAGCGATTTGTTCTCACAGATTCAAGAAATTTGGACAAACTAATCCTTCATTGTTTGCTCTCTTGGACGTTCTTCACAAATAGTATTTGGTTTTCCTGAGATTTTATACAGCTAGAGGCTACACAGCACCTTAAAACAAAATTAAGGAACATGTTAAACGAAGTTCCAGCCTGTGTCACAGATAATTTCATGACGCCCTGAACCGGAGAGCAAAACTTGGCTCACTTGAGGTGTAATCATGAGACCTTTTGTGCCAGGCTCAGTAATGTCAACAAGAAGCGTTCAATTAAGGTGCCAAATTGTGTGCCTTCACACAGGAGAATAAAGGTCTTCATAGTAATACCCACGCATCCATTCAGATTGCTAGTCACATGACAAAAGCTGATCATATTAACCGGAGAACTGGTGATATTGACCATGAGCTGACCCATCGATTGGGAAAAAGCTCTACATTCGTCGCACGGACCTGGAACCTCTGCTGCTAACTGCGCTGGAGTAAGGAGCAGGCAGTAGGAAGCAGACCTCCCGAAAAGCTTGGATACCATTCCGGTCCCTTGTGGGGCTCAGCGAACTCCAGAGAAGCCAGCGCAGTCCGCAGCAATCCGACAGAAACCTTTGGACAAGTTTTCTCCTGTACAAACCACAAGAAGCTCTACATTTGACCCCACGAGGTAAAGAGATTTAGTCCCACCCATATCATCTTGCTGAATCCAAGAAAAAACGACGTTTGGGAGAAACTAGCTAGTTGCGACATATTGGAGTAAATGAAGAGTCGTACAGTGAGGGATCAGACCCATCATGCAGGTAGCCAGACCTGTGGATCTGCTCATTTCTGCGCTGACTGTCGAGAAGTGGATAAAGCGTTGAAATTCAGTGTGTGCCTCATGCCCCGGCAGCAGGATAGGTTGGACAGAATATCACAGAAGGCTACAGACTGATTCCCTCTTTACCAGAGTCCAAGGAAATACGTTTTCATCCAATTTGGATCTGCATGCTTCCATTCGGTTTTCATGGAGCACCGGGCTTTTTTTTTCTTTTTTTTGTGGCTGCACGCGCACGTGGTTCGTCCTTGGAGTGCTTGTACTGCAGCATAATGGGACAACTTCACTGTTTAAAGCCCAGATTTGCTCAGACATTTGTGGGGAAGGGCGGCTGCGGCTACTATCCCAGTGGCAGCCTTCGCCTTTGTAACCTTTTTAAAATCTGACAGATATATTTATCATAATATCCAATCATACGGGTCTAAATGCTGGACATTCTGTAAAGACAAAGCTTTCGATCCTAGGTTGCAATAAATGAAGAGTAGCTATGTGGCAACGAGGGGGTTATGATGGATTGTCATCTAACCCCATGAGGAAGGCTGCAGCTGACTGTTCCATATGAAACGATTCATAGAAAGAAAAGCTTGCACACATTTCAGTTTTTCACCTTTAATTTTGCAGTAAGTGTCAGAAAAATCAACACTCGCAGGAAAAAAATTGGAAACACTTGGATGATTTTTTAATACTTTTGTTTTCTGAGGAAAAAAAAAAAAACCTTACGTGAATTTTGTGGAATCTATTTAGTCTAGGTGAAGTGACAGAACATTAGCGGGTATTTGTGAAGATGCCATTCTGTCACACACTGATAGTCAGCATTTCCCTTGCTACAATCTTAAAATGAGAAAGCATCTTCTATGTCAAAGAAGTATTAGAAAATAAAATGTAAAGTGTGTCAAATGAACTTAATATTCATATTAAAACGTCTAAAAACGAGTGCAGGATCTTCCAAATACCCACTAAATCATTTCTGTAACCTCCTCTGAAAGATCATTTTAAATTACAATAAACATAATGGATTATTTATTATTTCATTAATATTATTTCTTTATTACGGCATTTTTTTTTTTTACTTTTTCGTCTTTAAAAACATAAGTCAATAAATTAACATGCTACCACCGGACAGCCCAAACTCCATTATGTATTTGAGTAGAAGTGAAACAGACTCTGTTAGACACCTCAGATAGGGGGCAAGAGGAGGGGAAAGTTACTCTGGAATCCATACAAAAAATAATTCACTGTAAATATAATATATATATTTATACATATTTGAATATATTTACACATATACCCAGCACTATATACTGTGTATTCAGCTCAATAATAATAATGGTGTGGGCTTATCAAAAAAGAAAATACAAACCATATTACAAAAACATGAGGCAGTGTCTTTCTCTTTCCCTAATTTTTTTTTGTTAGTTTTAGTTTATTTTTCATGTTTATTTCCTATTTTTGTCCATAAGTCCTCCAGTAGAGGACACTGGTCCACGCTTCCCAGTTTCAGAAATGCCAGCCAGTGGAATGAAATCAATCATTTTAAACTATTTCAGGATCTCGGAGAAAGAAAAACAATAAAAAGAAACTAAAAAAAAAAAAAAAAAAAAAAAAAAGTGAGAAGCGGACCCCAGGATTGGGCAGTCAAGTCATTCACGTGGAGCATTTTCGGGGCCCGCCCTCCCATTAAGAGCTTGGAGTCGCACGTCTGCGCGTGCATGCAGGTATGTGTGTATGTACGTGTGCGCGCGTGTGTCTGCCACACAGCTCAGTTCAGATCCAACAGCAGCACGTCTTTAGTCCGGCACCCCCTGGGTCCAAAAGTCCACCGGGATCCAGAAAGGGTGAGTGGAGCAGAAGTTTGGGGGGGAGGGGTTTGCGGGTCTTGCCCTTTTCCAGGGGCTAGTAGGAAGACTATTCGGGGGGGGGTGGCATGGAGGTCACAGAGCTGACCGCGTCCCTGCAGCCTCATGTCTTTACCCCGCCGTTGATGTGCTGATACTTGGGGAGGCAGGGCTCGTCCGGGAGGGGCTCATGGGAGAATACAGAGTCATCTCCAGAAGAACAGGAGCTGCGTGTGTCTGGGAAGCTGGGAGAATACTGCTCGGTGGGGGCACACAGGTCCAGATACTCCTGAAAGGTGGGGGGGGGGGAGGTTAGAACTGTACAAGGTCGCATAATCAGAGCTCGAGTCAGCTCTGCAAACAGACTGCAGAATCCCCGCCCGCAAACACACATCAGCAAATTTATCTGCAAGCCTGTAGGGGGATTTAAAAACACTGGCCGAATGTCGAATAAAGGTCAGACTGGACCCGTGTGAGACAAGCCTGGAGTCTCCCTGCGCTGGACCCATTTGCCACATCTTTTTTTTTTTCTTCTTCTTCTTCTTCGGTACAGAGCGTTTCGACGTGTCTGGGCAGGGCGGGGCTCGGCTGAAACGGACCAGCAGCGTTCTGGGTGGGGTGGCGACCGGTTGGCTCCACGCTGGTACGGTTTGTGTCGGTTTCAGGGAAAATGAAAATAAACCTGACGTCCGAAATTGGATGCGAGGAGCTCGGTGCACGGAGGCAGATGGAAAAATCGCTACAAAAATAGGCCACACTGGCAACCGTTTTTCTGCTGGTGGAAAAAAAAAAGAGTGAGACCGAAATAAAAAAAAAATCCATTAATTTAAACTTCAACCAGTGTGCTGTGGTCACTTGCATTTTTTCTTTGTCTATTTGATTTTTTTTTTTTTTAACAGTAGTTATTGAAATATTTCAGTAGAGGAAGAAAGGTTTGGGTTTCTAAAATGACTTCTGGCTTCCATTCTACAACTCAACACAACAGAGCTCACATTACTAAAGACCTCCACATCTGCGAGCACTTTGGGGGGGGTGGGGGGTGGAGAGAGAAAAAAAACAGTTTATTACATTTCAAAAGTTCAAATATAAGCTAGCTGCGGGGATAATCCATACAGTTCCTCTTTAACCCTCTGACTCCTTTCCAGAGCTTTCCGTTTGATACCTGGAGTTTTTCTCTCACATCGGGAAGATACGGCGTAAGACAATTCTGGAGATGGAAAGCATTGCTAATTATGTTTCTGAGATCATGCCGGAGGGGTTTGAGTAAAACACTTTCGCTGCCTAGACTCACGTTTCCCGCTCTGATGGACAAGTCACGGTCTATCGCCCAGAACTCTGCCGATAATGGCTTCCCCGGCTGACGAAGACTCTGCACGGCGTAGCAATGTGCGGGCACACACACACACACACACACACACGTATTTTGCAGAGTGGCATGTCCAGCAGCCGGCCTGTTGTCCCTGTCCGGGTCTGTGCAGTCTGTAACTATGCCTTTTGGTTTTTGTGACGCTCTGGCACACAGTTGCATGTCGGGACCTGTGCATTATTGCAAAACATTTCCTTTTGCGCGTGAATATCTCAGAACAAAGGATAAAAAAATTTGATCTAAAAAATGCACTCTTCTTTAGCACCGGGGACAGGAAACGTCCATGTAAAAACACGTCCGTGGCAGATAACACCTGCAAACTACAGAGAAGCGGAGTATCAAATATGACACATCAAAGTGTGGTTCACGCGTTATGTGGAGGGGGAGTGCAGCTAGAGATGCATGAATGATTTATGGGGTTGTTACGGTCAGGGGAAAAACTTAGACCACATGGAGTGGTGGCGGTGCCAACGTCCTACATCTGTCCAAGACCGCTTCACCACAGAGCCACGTCCATGCTACAGATACTAGCCCTGTTCGGAATTCAGTCCAGTTCGACCCAAAAGGTGTGTGAAAGAGAAGTGAATTTCCATGTATGGAAAAAAGGGGCGGTTTCTGATACTGCAATGGGGGCGGGGCATCACTTTCTACATCCTCACCTCATTGGTGGCCAAGGTAAGGATGCGGTCCAAGTCCTCCACCAGCTGTTTGAAGGTGGGTCTATGGGAGGAGATGGCGTGCCAACAGTCTTTCATCATCATGTACCTGGGGTACAGAAAGAGAGCGAGGGGGGCGGAGAAGAACATCAGGTTACTTTTCTCTTGCCTGCCAGTGGTCTTCCACACATGTGTTCCATTTACGAGAACCTACTATCATCGAGACATTTTGTCTTTACTGTTGACTTTACTGTTACATTACTCAACGAACAAGGGCACTTCCCCAGCTGAAAGCTGATTTACCCCCAGAGTGCTCCCTCTCCTGTCACTCTTCGATTAAAAACATATCATTGGCTAATGATAAGGTTGCCCTGCCCCCACCCCTGTATAAATTATGGCCCTCACCTAAAAAAAAAATCCTAGAATTGCCCCTGCTGTGCTGACCTGCTACACGTGTCTCATTTAATTTTGAGAGAGCACAAGAGGTTAGGAGGATTACAGCAAAAGCAGAAGTTAGTTTTCAGTCCAACTCCCTGAACAGTATCTCTGGTGTACAGGTAGAGAGAAGGCATTGTGATTTCACTTTATCACCTTACTATGCAGTCCAGCCATCTTTAAATACCAAAGCTAAGTAAGATGGCCTGCCAGTCCATTGGAGAAATGCTAAAACCAAAGTACTTTCTGGTGGTGCTGACGGACGATCGCAGTGCTTTTATTTTGTTCGAGCCGTCGCTCCTACGGTACCGAGCTTCTCCAGAGACCAAGAAGCTCCATCGGGCAGTCAATGTCAAAGCCCACTGAATAAGAACATTGATGGCAAACTGTCAGCGCATCTGTCTGCTGGCAGTAATGAATCTGAAGGGTGCTCATCAATGCCCCTCTCCAACTGCGAGTGCAGCACTTATCTTTACATTATCTTCAATAGCTGGCCACACTTCCTGTACAACCTGTAGAGATTCCACCTCACTTCCCGTATCATCTGGAAATGGTCTGCATCTTGTAACATCTGTGAATAGCTCACACTCCTCCACTTCCTGTATTTGTAAATGCTTTATTCTTCATTTCCTTTGGAATTCATATGGCTGACCCCAGACTTCCTGAAGTACCTATAAACATTTTGCCCACTCTCTTCTTGCAATATTCACAAATGGCTGTACAATTATTCCCTGAAGTATCCATAAATTGCATGTTAACCACTTCCTTTTGTATCCATAAATGGCACATTAACCACTTCCTGTCGTAGCCATAAATGGTATGTTCTTCACTTCCATTTTAGCACTTATCACCTAATATGAGGCTTATATTGTTGCTGTGCTTCATAACATATTTCTTTGTCCTGAAAAGCTGTTATTATTTGCTCTACAGTGACAGGAGAGCTGATGCAGGGTTAAAACACACAGAGGCAGATTTCTGCTGAAGTGCAGGAGGTCACCACTTACAACTCGTTGGTGCAGTTGCTGGGCTTGTCCATCCTGTGGCCTTCCTTGAGGAGTTTGAAGAGCTCCTCCACAGGGATGCCTGGGTATGGAGAGCCACCCAGCGTGAAGATCTCCCACATCAGCACGCCGAACGACCACCTGGGGGAGAAAGCAGAGATTGTGTGCTATCAGACAACCCAGCACAGAAATTCAAAAGCCAAAGCTCACAAAGTCAATGATCGCTCACTCAAGAATCAAACCGATTCTTCTCAACAGACAGCTGAAATTGAGTTTCACATCAACCGTAGAATTGCATGACCATACATTACTGCCGCTAACCCTAACCCTAACCCTAACCCTAACCCTAACCCTAACCCTACAGTTTCCCTGAGCAGGTGGTGCTCACTGGCTGCTGCTGGCTTATAGACCTTGTGCAGAATAATGAGACCAAAATAAACCAAATAACCTGAGGTGCCCGTTTCACGCTCTGCTCATCCCTGAGCATGCAAAGTCTGCTGCGTCCCCACTATTCATAAATAACAACCACGTTTGGCGGCAGATTTGAAACTTGTTCCGATGAGAGTAGGCTGGCTGGCCGGGCGGAACAACGGAATGCCTTTGGCGGTTGAATGCGGTCTTTCTCTGTGCCCCCCAGGACGCCCCGTGGCACTGACACCCCCCCTCCCCCTTGGGACCCTGCACTCAAAGCTAGCTTTTGTCTCCTTGCGGGGGTTGACCACAGTGCCCCGCATTGTCCGTACCAAAACAAACAAACGTGGGAGAAAAAAAACGTGAAGCACAGGAAACAGCCGCCCCCCCCCCCCCCAAGGGGAGGACGCGCCGATACGGGCCGGCACACGCGTACACAACTACAAGAAAAAACGCGGGCTAGCTGAGATGACAGATCGAACACAGGTGGCCAGAAAAATGCAGCGGGAACGGCAGCGAGTGACATTAGCGACGCAAGCGAGGTCTCAGACACGCAAACAAGCAGCATTTCAGACAAATGACTCACACACTCAAAGCCAAATAGCCTTAGTGACACAGAAGTCACACTCTGGGCCACTCTACGAAGCCAGAGGTTCTGAGGCCGTCCAACAAGAAGTGCACTCAGGGGTGGCACAGAGGCCGGGTTCGAGTCAGTGGCCACTCTGCTTCCTCACTTATCTGTGTGCTCAGTCTGCCTACTGTTTACATTTCTCCTTCCCTCCCAGTTCCATTCTAATCGGTAACATATTTATTCTTGTCCTTCGATAACGGCTGAACTTCTTCTCAGACGTTTGCTTCGTGTCACACAAACGCCACGCTTCTCATGTCTGATCCAGCATCTTTTCCCCATCTACTCGTTATCTGTTCTCAATAAAAGTACGGCATCCTTTAGTGCGCGAGTCAAATTTCATTTTCTTATGAAGAGGTGAACGGTGACTGGAAGAATAATCAAAAAGTACTGAAAACTTTATCCCATTTTAATTTTACACTTCGGTACAGAACTAGGCAAAAATCCATGGCTCCAAAAATGCCAACAGACCCTCCGTTCAATGGTAACCCCCTCCCCCCCAGCTTAACCTCGTCCCCACAGATATGACATCATACATAAGTAAGGGTCTGTGTGCAGGATCTGCCTGTGCGTTCCTGTAAAGTTGAGGTCACATGACTGCTTATTTGTGGGAGCCATGCTGTGAGAATTCCTCCTCAGCTCATTTATTCATTTAATCTGATTCCATTTTATAGACTGCCCCCGCTTTCCATCATATTCTGATGCAAATCCACCCCCTGGGGGCTTATATAAAAAAGCCAATTAGTAAAGTGAGCGATGAAATGTAATTACTGGTGAGCGATACAAGGGGCTTCTGTTTAGCCGGCATGGGGCCGCGGTTGTGGCCTTGGCATCGATTAGCACTGGCTGATGCACGCGTGTACATGGGTACGAATAAACAGGGGCTAGGGTTAGCATGCACGCACACGCACAGGTTTGTAGTTATATCTTTGTGGGGACTCTCCGTTCATTTGTATGGGGGAAACACTAATCCCAACATGACGACCTTAACCGCTACCCAGCCCTAATCCATAAGAAACAAAACAAAATATGAGACTTTTGGCCTTTTTAGTTTTTTGATTGCATTCAGAGATCTTTCTGGGGACCTGAAAAATGGTCCCCACAAAATGAAAATAACATGTCTATTACATTGTGGGCCATTGTGGCCATTTGGTACCCACAATGTAATATAAACATAATCCACAGACACACACACTCCCACACACACACACATTGTCCCATGCAGGAAAGCTGACATCAGCACACATACATGCAGTAATCATCTATACCTTCAGTGACAGGCTTAGGGGAACAAAAAAAAAACCACGACGACACACCATTCATCACCAAAAGATGGTACAACTATAAGGACAAAAAGGCCATAATGACCCAAGCTTTTAGCAGCGCGCCAAGTCACATACGCTGTCCTATGCAGAAAGCTGACATCAGTGAATAGAGTTACAGTAACAATGCACATTTTACAAAACCTGCACACACCAACGGCTATGCTCGCACGAGCGACACGCAAATAGCTTTCCCCATAGGTCAGCATGCAACATGCTTTTTCCAATTAGTCTTGCGCCGAAGCAGAGGACACAACACGGAAAAAAAACACCTCATACCGCCAATTCAGGCCCCTAATCCGGGCCTATGTTGGAAAAAAAAAAAAAGAAAGTGTGCGATTCAGACCTCGCGTCTCTATGCGCCGGAGAGAAACAAAGACTCGTTGTCATTCACAGAGCGGACGTACGAAAAACACAGGAAGGGGGGATTACGGCCCTTTGAGAGAGAGGGAGAGACGGCATGCACAACATGTACGGAACAATCGGAGGGAACGGAGAGGGATGAGGCAGATTTGTAGCCTGGGTGCCACCGTGCTCAGACATGTGTGAAGAGACTGGGGTGGGAGAGATTTCCGCACAGCCGGGGGGGTCGGGGGGGGGGCGCCAGCTTTGAAGCCAAGCAGATTAGTAACACAGCGATGGCCGCAAGCATAGCGTGAAATCCTCACTTTCGCCGCCGATCGCCTCACACACCCCCATCCCATCTTTGGGCCTAAACACCCCCTGTGACGTACGTGAGGCTGCTTCAGTTGGGTTATAAAGGACAGCTGAGGAATGGTTCCACTTGGGAAACGTCAACTAGCTAGTGGCGCTTGCCAGGGTGTTTCAAAAACCTTCCCCAGCACGCAGTCACAAAACTTTACTAACAATTAGCCATTTATTGTCATTTATCTCCATTGTTTACTTCCAGTTTTGGTAAATTTGCACTACAATGAACCACTGCTTTTCCTTTAACAGTAGTTCAGTTATTGGTCTCAGTATTCTGGTTCTTTGCAGTGATATTTGCACATGGTATGTATGGTACATCTGTATTGTCTTAAGACACCATACACTGTGATTTCTGTACATTTCTAATTTCTATTGTATTCTTTAGTACAGCAATACCCCCATATCCGCAGTCTCAGAATCCGCGAATTACAGCGGTCCAAAAAAAGGTGGTTTTTGTGAGAGGTATAAAAAAAGCAGATTTTCATTGCTCTGTCATCCCTTGATACCAGAAATGGGGACTGGAGTTTGCGACTCAAACTCGAGTCTCACTCGAGTCAGCGACTCAAACTCGAGTCTCACTCGAGTCAGCGACTCAAACTCGAGTCTCACTCGAGTCAGCGACTCAAACTCGAGTCTCACTCGAGTCACTCTTAAATTGACTTCCGACTCGTTATTTTTTGACTCAGACTCGTGAACGAAAAGAGGCTTTAAGGCTCTGTTGAAATTTCTACACATGTGAAGCACCGAATGCACACCTCTCCGCAGACCGTAGAGGCGCTAAACATCACGACGTGCCGCTGCCAACGGCGCATAGGGACTGGAGCCGGAGAAACGTGACGTCAGGCGATATCGACAAACAACGCTCGTTTTCTTTTTGCCATAGTACAAATTGCGGACCCGATCTGACAAAGTGTCTTTCCGGGTTTTATTTTACGTGAAAAGGCACCGCCTAGAAATAGACAATTGTGTTGTCATACAGTGACACAGATCCGGCATAGATTGCCATAAATCTGATAATTTAGCAGATATGTCCCACAAATACCTTTTTATTTCTGACATACCCTTCCAAATCATGCTGTGTTGTCTTACGGCTTAGAAAGCGCCCTCACCTCTTCATTGTGTCCCGCATAGGGCATGTAGTGTTAAGTCTTCAATTATACGGCGTTCCATCTCACATTCAAAATGAATAAAGTAGAAACATAATGGCAGCAAATAATTCAACTGAACAATAATATCACTGACCGCTGTCCACTGCTCTGCACGCGTTATTTTGACTTTTAACATGGAGTTTGCGGTGATACTTGCATAACCAGCTATTTACTTGCACACACACGAGCTGAGAGACAAATCAATTTATCCATTGACTTAAAGTTTTTGCTTTATAATGGCAATTTGCTGTAAACATGCGCTTACTTTAGCAGCATGACAAACAGGGTCTCGGTTGTACTCATTCATTAGCCAATCACATCACTTAAACGTAGTTGAGGGCGGAGTCTGACATGGTTCGGTCTGGCTCCAGAGCAGGGCCAGTCAGACATGCCTTTAGTACAGAAATGTATGCATGCCACGGTGCAAGTAAAATTTCCCCCCAGGGATGTCTTCATCATAATGTTATTTGCTCTGTTGCCATTAGAATACCTTTCATTCGAGAGAGTTCAGTACTGTACAATAATGTACATTGTACTTTATCAATACTGCATTTAATGTTGGTTAATGTTTTACTGGTCATAGCTTCTCAAGTCATATGCAAGTACAGGAAAACCACATTTGTTTGTGGGGTCTGCGGATGGTTCACTATTCACAATTGCGGTCCCGGACCGCATCAGCCGCAGATACGATGGAACTATGTATTGCACATATTGTGTTATGAAGTATTTCCCCTATGTGTAATATTGTGCTGTTCTTCATGTTTGGCACCCAATGACAAACAATTCTTGTCTGTTTGTACATACTGGTGGTTAAGTGTTCCGAGTTCTGAATTTTCTAAGGAAAACAGGACGAAACACTTACACGTCACTCTGGTGCGTATACACTCGGTCGAAGAGGGCTTCCGGAGCCATCCACTTCACTGGGAGACGACCCTGCAGACACAGCAACAGAGGTCAGAGGTCACAGCCTCACAATAAAACGCCCACATTTAAAGTTCATTCTGGCTGTCAAGTTTTCTCATGACGGGTGCATAAAGGTGAAATAAACCACACCCCAGCAGCCTAAATCCAGCTATCTGCTGTGTGAGTGTCACATTAAGCAGACCTGATGAAGACTTATTTTCTGGGTCATACCATCTGAACACCACCCCCATAATCAATCCCACTGAAGTAGCGGGAGAGTTCAGACGTGGTTCATCTTGATTGTTTTCTTTAAGGCAGGACCAAAACCAAAACACGGTTGGGGGGGTGGCACTCACATTTGTGGTCTTTTTATAGTAATCGATGTTGTGGACGTCCCTGGCCAAGCCGAAGTCAGCTATCTTCATGACGTTGCTTTCTGTGACCAGTACGTTCCTCGCGGCCAAGTCCCGATGAATACACTGAGAGAAAGAAGAAGGAGCAGCGGTGAGACCGAAGGTGTGGGTAGGAAACTGAAATACTTATCCCTTTTTCAGGATGCACACTTATTAAAATTTTCTGCCAGAGCAGCAGAAAATTAAACGCAGCAGAAAACAATCAGGGATCCACCTTAAATAGCTCCAAAACATACAAAGAACTTTATAGGAAAGTTAGAGTCATAGATAAGTACAAGACACTAGAGGGTGATCCCACTGGGAGAAACTTTCATGTTGTCAGAATCACAATAGGGTGCAGCGTGAAACAACAGTCGCGCTCAAAACTGAGCCAGGACTATGGTCCAAATCGATCCAAAATGGCTGCCAGGCTTTCAATGTTTAAGAACATTCCAAAAAATATACATCTGAATTTTCATGCCATAGACTGTATGTTTGTGGGGGGGGGCATGCTACAGGCATCCTCATCAAACTATGGTCTTGGGATCAGACTCGTCTCATCCGGTCACACAGTAGCAAATCCTTACTTCCGCTCTGGCTGTCATCAGCGGCAGGATTTTACCCGTTTTTCGAGTGATGTAATGAAAGTCACACAGCCGTAACTCTAACCAGGCGGTTAAAGGATAACCTGGTAATCCAGCAGGTCCCCCTTTGCGTAAGATCGTTTTGCCCAGTATAACGGCGTTCGTTAAGCCAAGCCGTTTGTTCCCTCGGCCATTACATCATCAGCACCTTGCATGCTTTGAAACAGGTATTATGGGCTTTGTGGCTGTTATTGGTTGTTTTGGTAACATATTACTTGAGGGGGCAAAAAAAATGTAGCAGTACACTCTTTCTTAATATATTATTTAACCAGAAATTAAGACCCTGTTTACACTTGGTTTTAAAATAAGTCTTGTGCAATCTGATCAGAGGACAGCCGATAGACATTGGCGTTTACGCCGGAGTCTATTATGAGTGTTCAAGGTGTCCATCTGACCACTTGTGTTCAGATTTCACTGCTGCTCTGCCTATTGTTATTGTAATGTGCATGTCAGGGATGCATCCAGGATGCATTAGTGTTTACCGTGGAAAAGATGTGCGGTCAAATGCATCCCAGACCAACTTGGCAAGTGGTTTGAGCCATGAGATCACAATGCATCTTGGTGATTTACACTTGTATTTAGTGGTGTCTACTTGCGGTCAGATCAGCCAAGATCAATCAAGTGTAAAAAGGGTCTATGTGTACTAAATCGATGTTCCTTCATCATCAATCAATCATAATCGTTCATGTACAGTACTGTGCCAGTCTCAAGCAGCCAAAGAAAATGATGTATAAATGTTCTTCATGTTGGTGTAAAACTGAGATATTATGCCAGTCAAAGTATGTCAGCTTAGCCATTTCAAAACCTCTGCTACAATCACCCCAGTATTTCCAGCACCATACAAAACACCCATGTATTTTTTGACTTGACCACAAGCACACCTCATATAGCTAAACAATATCTCATTGACTTTTTAAGTAATTAAGTTTATTAAGTGGGCTGGTGGGGAAATTTAATAAATACATGGAATGGCTGGGGTGCCCCTGAGGAGAGGTTTGGGAGCAGAAGCGGTGTTCATCCAGCCATCCAACCAGATATCAGTGACTTTTTGGACAACAGGACAAATTGCTTCTAGTTATTGTGTTTCTGTTCATTTGCAAATGTTCTGCTGTTAAATTATGTTTTTTGTTCTGAGCAGCCCAGATAAATGACTTTAAACATTTAAGACTTTTAAGCAGCTTTAAGACTATTGCACAGTACTGTATTTCATGCAGTTACTATATTTGTTCATGATTTGTACTTGAGTAGTAACTGAGTTACTAAGTTACTTGTGACCCTCGTTTCAGTTACTTGTGGTGTTTGTCTGGTGTTGTTAGGCATGAACTGTGTCTAAGAGGAATTTTCATAATAGAAAATAAAGTTTACTTGAATTTTGAACACGGTAATAGATTTTATACTTTTCATGTAACATATGTGTAAGTAAGTTTAGAGCCCCCCCACCCCACCCATGGTTAGCCCCACCTACCTTCTGTGAGGCCAGGTACTCCATACCACGGGCCACCTGGTAGGCACAGGACACCAGGTCCTTGAAGGTGAGCTGCTCGTCTGATACACGGGCAATGTCGTAGGAGTACTCCATGCCGGGCGGCCGGCGGGCTCGCAGATATTCCCGAAGGTTCCCCTTGGACGCGTACTCCACAATGACGTAGAGAGGGCCTTATCGAAAGAGCAACACAGCGTTAGACCCCCCCTCAACCGAAAGAACTCGGTCACCTAGCCCATCTTGCTCTCTATTAACTAATGTCCACCAACAAAGAGCTGGTGCTGGTGCTGGTTCTCACTTGGAGCCTTTTGAGAACCTGCCTGCGTTTCCACCGGTTTCAAAAACCAACAGAACGGAAATGTTAGGCAAAAGTGGGAGTAAAGTAAAGGTTCATATGAATCCATACTTTTTAGCTTTATTTTGGTATGTTTCAGATTTTAAGTTTTTGAAAGCTGCTGAATTGAACAAAACTCAACCATTAAGTCTCATAGTTTTCAGAGTGTGACTCTGTCTCTATTGCCTGTATCCACTTTTGTCTCCTAAAAGCCTGTATTTCTCTCCAGTCTATGTGTGTAAGTGGGTTTATTCTGGCTCGCTGTTTTACCGCTGTCCTTTCAGGGTCTGCTAAAAACTGAAATTTACTGCCCGCCTCATGATCACTTGGCCACAATATTTTATTTATTCAACCTGTGACCGGTTTTGAATTTATTATTAAATCTGGCCAGCAGATCAATCTTTCATTTTCCACAAAATAAAACACGATGCAACGTTATTCTGTAATAAGCTGGCAAGTTGTTTCATTGTCGGCACTGGCGATATCAGACAAAACAATATCATTTAAGGCTACTACACTGTCACACTGTGGCTGTTATTCTTGTCTGAGGTCACATGAGCTCCTTAAATAGCCAAGTGCTATAGTCTAGATACATCATATATTTTAAAAAATCCTGAAGATTCGTATCTCATATACCCCCTTATTAGACCTCATATGTCTTGTGGTTCATTTCCGATCGCTGCTCTGACTTCACAATGTGTTTTTTGTGCTGTCCTTGTCATCCACATCCCACCTATAGAAATATGTCCCAAATCCCCAAGCTGCACCTATAATGAAGACTGCCTATCTGGAAGCTGGACGGGGACTTTTTGGGACTTACTTCCATCAGATCTTTATCATCAGACATCAAATGTGGAAATGTGATATCTAAACATTAAGCAGTAAGCGCTTCACTGTCCATCATACATGTCCATCTTAGCCACGCCGTGCTGAAGCCCCGCCCCTCACTCACCATCCTGCGTACAAGCCCCCAGCAGGTTGATGATGTTTTTGTGCTTCCCAATCATCTTCATCATCTCCATCTCAGACACCAGGTCAGAGAGGTCCTTCTCCGTGGCGTCGTCTGGTAGGGGAGGGATAACAGGTAAAGCTCAAGGGGGGGGGGAACTCTCACCTACATCACCCTCCGCAATAATGCCAAGGCTCCGTCCACGGGAGCGATGTTCTGTAGACCGGGCGTAATTTCCAGACGATGGAGTGTAATGTTACCAAAAAAAAAATAAAACTTTTCTCCATCAAAAAAAAAAAAAGATTAGAACCGCGAACTGAGACAAAGAATACAAAAGTGTCCTTTCAGCTCTGGAGAATTAAAGGCGTCTATTTAATCTGGTGCAATTATGTGAAGCACCATCACCTTTTTCATTAGCAAGCACTGACTGATGCACCCAGTCGCAGTGGGATCACCTTGGCTGAGTTACTACCCATAATGCCCCTGTAACTAAGCTGCCCTTTTTCTCCCTTTTAAAATCTTTATCTTGCCACGTAAAGCCACCTCTCTTGTCTGAGCCCCTTCTGTCTTTCTAACTGCTATTATAATTTGTGTATTTTCTTGCCCCCCACCCCCCATGTCTTTTTGCAGGTGCTGAATGTGGACCTTTGCACCTGGTGCAATCGAGGTCTGGAATGCAGTCCTCAGTCAGCACCAGGAAATAACAGTGACGGGCGATTCCCCACCACCACCTCACTTCATTTTCGCCAGCCCTCCATTGCCTAGGCCACTCAGAATTCCTGGGGTCAGTATCTCGCAACTGGGGAGGGTGCTGGGGGCTTAAACCACAGTCTCTGTTTACCCCCTGGACACTCCGTGACCTTAAAACCCCAACAATATGGTCCAACAATCAATAAAGACCCTCCTCACCCCCCCCCCCCACAGTCTGGAGTTTCTGTAGAATGACACTCCACCAGTGGTAGACAGAACTGCAGAACTTCCACGCCTGCTAACCCTGGTGAAATGAAGAGCCCACCAAGGAGATGATTACCTTTCAGCATCTTGACTGCCACTGTCACAGCATCCTTGGTCTTGTCCTTGTCGATCCCCATAGCTTCGGCCATCACCACCTGCCCAAAACATCCCTCTCCCAGAGGCTTGCCAAGCGTCAGCCTGGGGGGGGGGGAGACGGGGGAACTATTAAAACCACTGACATTCAAGAGAATCCAGAACACACCCTCCCTTCACCGACATCACTGGAATCGTTTTGGTAAAGGGGTCACTAGCCCCTCTAGTAATTATCAGCCATTTACTCATTCAGCGACCAAGAGAAATCCTTATTGGAACAGCTCCTGTTCACTCCAACGCAAGACCATAGCAAGACCCTTCATCAATCATAGCTGACCTGGAAAATTCTGGGGCCTGCAAGTCCTCTAAATTGCCACAACCCCTCTGATGGAGATATTTGGCCAAATTTGGCCCCTGGTCCAGCTCTCCGTAACAGCATGACCCTCTAAATGCTTTATTTATGTGCCTCTTCCTCCTCCTACATGAGACTAATGTCTGTGTTGTAATACGCGCACTAGAGCCAAAAATAGGATCAAACTATCTGTGAGTAGTAAAAAGACAGAAACGCTTTCACGAAATGGAGCCAATACAGCATTTGTGTGTGAGTTATGACTCAGGAGAGAACCTGCTGGCGTTTTTTCCTCCAGCGCAGAGTGTTTGAGAAGTGGGTCAGCACTCCATCATCGCGTATACCCCCCCCAGCATCAGGCAACCTCAAGCTTACACATTGACCCCTGAACTCTGTTTGCCCCTAGCCACCACAGGATTGGCAGGCCTTGGCCCCACCTCCCCTGAGCACACCCCCCCCCACACACACATGGCCCCGTGTCCCGGCTGTGTAAACATTCACACCAGGCTCATCGCGGGAACACAATCCCCATTCTGTCCATGTGTGGCCCCCGCTGGCCCCCTGACTCAATAGCACCCTTTCTCTGGACCAGCCGAAGATAATCAATGTTGTTCTCCACCCCCCACCCTTCATTTCTTCAACATCGGCACCATTTTTCAAAACCGTTAGTATTCCAGAATTTTCCACATTCACAACACAGCCCTGGAGGCAAACAGTAATGACAAGTAAAAAAGTCAAGGGGTGGGGGGGGGGGAGGAAGGACAGATTGCCTGTCCATCTGTCTGAGCAGCAGAAAATTAAACGCAGCAGAAAACAATCAGGGATCCACCTTAAATAGCCACAAAACATACAAAGAACTTTATAGGAAAGTTAGAGTCATAGATAAGTACAAGACACTAGAGGGTGATCCCACTGGGAGAAACTTTCATGTTGTCAGAATCACAATAGGGTGCAGCGTGAAACAACAGTCGCGCTCAAAACTGAGCCAGGACTATGGTCCAAATCGATCCAAAATGGCTGCCAGGCTCTCCGTCTCACGTTAGAACAGAGAGTCCACCCACAGCAGTCGCTCCGCTCCCCAAGTCCAAAGAGAATCAGGACTTTCTGCACCCAAGGGAGAATTTTTAATATTGCGCAATAGTGCCCCCCCCCCCACTTTGCAAAATAGTACACTCCACATGTAGGTAGTTAAATAATTGTCTGTGAGACAACGTGACCTTTCTGCTGTGCTTTAAGCGCAGCCCAAAGCCGGTGTTCACATCGAGGCTCCGCTGCTGCTTTGTGAAGTGAGTCATAGTTTAACCAGCAGAAAAATAATGGCAAGAGGTGGGCAAATTCTTACAGCAGTTTAAGCCTAAGAATTTCCATTAATTAGGAATTCTTTTTATTGTCCTTCAGCTCTAAGCCTGCAGATTACATTTATGAGTGTTTAATGACTTGGAAAGAAACAGTGAGTCAACAACTTACTAGTATATAGTGCTGATAAATGATTAATGGGCCTTTATCAAGACGTGAGGGATTAATAGTTTGCGTGAAAGTCTTGTGTAAAAGTGCACAGCGGGAACACCTGGCTGTGTCAATGTCATGGGAACAGAATACGGTCCTGGGAGGCTGCATGCGTGTCCATCTTGGCTGGAGAGACACAGCACTTATCTGGAGGACTGGGAAGCTTTTCAAACCCAAAATCTGTCAGCTCGCGAGGCAACACCCAGCCGAGAGCAGAATCTGGCCAGAAATGCTGTGTGGATGTAGAAAAGGAGTCTGAACAGGCAGGATGGGGGGGGGGGATGGGGGGTAACTTACTTATCCCGGGAGAACTCCCAGCGCGGATCCTCCGGAAGATCGTATTCCGGGATTGGGTCGTCATGGGCTGAGGATCGGTGGGTGGTGATGCGTACCAGGGGGGTACTGGAGTTCATGGAGGAGCCCGAGTCTGCTGACACCTACAGGGCAAGAGGGGTATGGCTAATCACCTCGAATCTCTGCTGATGACCTGCTGATAGGGGCTGGGGGTGGGGGGGGGCTGTGTCAACTAAGACTGAAGGGATGTGTCTCATAAACTATCATCGAAAATCACAAATAAGTGCAAATAATAAAACCACTAATACCCTGAATTGTGAAAAGCATATGTTGTATGTAGAGATTAGTGTCTCGTAAGCTGTCAGCAAACAGTTCTCAGAAAAATGGTGGCCCTTGTCCCCAGAAAGACTGACAGCCCTGAACGCCGCATGTCCTTCATTTCTGTTCTTACCTGGACGGAGGTGTCTGTCTGGTGCCCTGTAACCTTAAACGTTACATTGTTTTCTTCTCTCTAAGGCAAAGTGTTAATTACACAGTAACAACATGCAGTAACGACCAGGCCCGTTTCCAATGGCGACCAAGCTCCAAGACCTTGAGAAATGACATAATATGCTTTGCGGGATTGATTCCAGTGTCAGATACTGTTGGGACCGTCAAAATGATGATGGTGACCATAATCAGCAGGTCTTTCACCGCTGCTATTGAGATGACTGACTGATTGGTCTCATGAGTTTTAATAGCTTGCGTGTGTCATCATTGTTCTCATTTGCCTTCATTAAAGCATAATAATGTACCTTTTTTATATTGCTGAATATTTCATCGCCGCTATCCAAGACCCAATTTTTGTGTTTTTTTTTTTAACCACTGCTCCCCCTGCCTTATTCCACGTGTCACTGCATGTGAGTCCACTCAGGAGTGTGAGGCATGTGTGCTGGTGAGCGGGATAGTAAGGGGTCTGCAAACTCTTTATCTACTTTCTGTTACCTGGCGACGCAGGGGAATCTGCTTGCTGAGCTTGTGCACGGTGGGCTGGCCACTGAAGTCGGGCTTCTTGGCGGTGGTGCGCATGCGACACACGACCACCACCACCACCATGCAGGCGATGAGGAAGACGCCCACGCAGTAGATGGCGATCTCAACATAGTCAGGTGACGTCAGTCCCTTGACCTGCTCCTCGGGGACTGCTGTGAAGGTGGGGGTGGGGGTTACGGTTAGGACCCAAGTCAGAGGCGTGAGCCCCACACAAAACAAGCAACCTACAGACAGGCACAACTGGGGACAGACCCTGAAAAATCATCTTCTACTACATCTGCTAAAACAGCTAAAAAGCTAACAATTCTGGAATCGCTACCTATGACTGCTATTCAACCTCAAACACTGCAAATCTGACAGTAAAACTCTTTGATAAACAGAGCAGAACTGTTTGCGGGTGGAGGCTGTGTGTCCCCTAACAGAATTCTTTATTCACATACACACAAAAAAAATAAATAAATAAAAATTCAAATCAGACCACATACAGGCAAACAGAACAGCCAGTGGCCAAAACTTCCAGACACCAGAATTTCAATATAACTCTATAAAGCCACATAATGCATATCTCACAGAATCCACAAACGGGGCCATTGTGCAAAGTCGGGGGTCATGAATCCCCCTATTGTTCTGTCCTGACCGCAATTCAGACAGACATGCAGAAAATTCATTAACCTAATTAAAGTATCTGTCAACGGAGTGCGACCCATCGCAGGAACTTGCAACTAATTGACTGCCTTCATCTAAAGCTTTGCACACAATTTTAAGTGTTTCTACAAACAAAAGGTAGAGCTGCAGTAATCAGAGTCTCGAAGGTCTAGTAAAAATTAAAATTCTGCCTCAAAACATCCAGGCACACTGTCCACCTCACAAATGGCTTTGACCAATCCATAACTCATTCATAATGACAATCAGGCTCTGGTTCTTGTGATTATTTCCCCACCCATCCCCCCAGCAGTGACACACAGCCCCCCTCCACGCAATGCAGGCCCACAAGTCCTGCCTTGTGACCATCAGGTTAGACACAAGGTGGTAACGTAAGCAGGTAATGAAATAACAAACAGTAATCTGGTCTTTCTCAGGAGCAGAGCGCCACTCTGATCGAGCTGGCGGTCAGTCCTCTGCATGAAAGAGGAGTGACATCACCATTCGGAGCAGGGTGGTGCACCGTACGCCTACCAGAAGGACGGACGGAGAGATGCACAAACAGGCATGCAAGCAGTGACTCTAGGCTTGTCATGGTTTTACATGCTTTTACGACAAGCACACATCCACAACACCAACAGACATCCCTGAGAAAGACAGCCTGCTCCCCCTGGCACAAAGACCGCTGAACACTCCGGAACCTTCCATTGCCCCCTTTGCCCTGGGGTTGATTAACTTTCTACACAGGGGTGCGATGCACAGTCTGACAGGCTGACTATTATGAAAACTATGCACTGCAGTTCCTGAGATTGGCAAACAATTACTGAGGTTCATCAGTTCAGGTGTCCTGCACTCCAGAAACTGGAGCGGGCTGTCTGTTCAGAAATAATCAGGCCATCAACAGAAGCACCGAGCAAAGGAAGAGGGCAAGAAGAGAGGAGAATATAAGGATATATACCTGGAAGAACCGTCAACCAAGCAGAGTGAAAGGAGATCCCGATAGAGTTACCCGCCAAACACGTATACTCCCCCGCATCCTCGAAAGTGACATTGGGCAAGTGGAGAACTTCAATCTCCTTGTCCGTGGTGTTAACACCTGCGGTCTGGGAGGGGTGGAGAGAAAGAGAGAGAGAGAGGTAGAAGGAGAGGCCGAGAGAAGGAAAGAAAAGAACAGGAAGCGACAGTAGGAATGCCGAGAGGAGTGGGGAGGGGGGGGGGGAGAAAGGAGAATGGAAATGGGGGGTGTGGGAGTTTGAAGTGAGGAAAGGGGGAAGAGGAGAAGAGGAGGACACACAAGAAATGAGATAATGAGACCCAAAAAACCAGAGGAGGCAAGCAGGAGGACGTCCATCGCCTGATTTCCCATCTAGAGCGTAGATGGGGGCTGAGGGAGAGTATGGGAGGGGCAAGGCCCCCCCCCCACAAAAAAAACATCAGTCCCAGTGCCACCAGATTGGAGAAGGGGGATACATGAAACGGGGTCATACAATAACAGAGCACCACACCGGCAGTGTCCCGTCACCCACCAACGGCTCCCAGCAGCCCCACTGGTCACGACAGGCTACCTCATGCATTTAAAACCACAGATGGACAAAAAGCATGGAAAAGATCCGGCTGCAGGACCTGAGCCTGCCCCTCCTTGCCCATTTATGGACTTGGGGGCGGGGTTGATTGTGGATGGGAGAGGCAAAATTGGGGGGGGGGGAGCAAGACGTAGGGGCAGCAGGTTGCAGGGTTTTTCCATGTCAGTACAAACCAACGTCAGAACAACCAGGCCTGACCCCAGAGGCGACAGGGAGAGCGAAGCCAGGCCTGAAGACAGGAACCAAAACCACCAAACCAGAACCAGCCAGTGACGAGCCCCAGAGCAAAAATAAATAAATACAAAAATGGGGGCACGGTCAGAGGGTGGGGGGGCGGTACTGCCTTTTACCTGAGATCACCGTCAGCCAGCCGGACTGGCTGACCTCCCCAATATAATTGGAGACTTTACAAATATACTCCCCCGCGTCCTCCTCGGTGACATTGGACAGGGTGAGCATCTCTACATCAGAGCTGTTAATGCCAGACCGCTGGACAGCAAAGTAAAACAAAAAACACCCACAGGAACAAAAACCAACAGGGGAGGGAAAGAAAACGGCATTAAAATCAGCTCGCTGTTCCATGTCAATCACAAGAATATCCGGCACATCAGCTGGCAGTGGGGGAAACAGAGCAAAAGACTCATTGAATGTTGGGTTGGAAAAACTATCACTTTTAATGTAAAATACTGAAATAGTGGTTTCTTTTTTGTTTGCAGGTGTCTCTGTGGGGCTTGATAAATTGTTCGGAAACCTGAGATAAAAATTCAAAATAAGAATTTTTGAAATAAGCAGAAATAAATACTTGAAATCAGTTTGGATGAATGTACCGAGAAAGGCGGAGTTGCCCTCGCACACGTGAGCACTGCCTG